TGAAGTACAACCATCAAATTATATCCACTACATTGTTTTAATGCAAAATCGAGAGTTCAATCTTTAGTTTGATATTCCAACCCCATTTATTCCTCCCTCCCTGCCCACCCCACAAAGGTAAAAGGAGTGACTCATATGGCATTTCACAGGGTGCTTCATTGTTTAAATTAGCTTGTTTTTTTTTTATTTCCATCTTTTTTTGGGGTACCTTAAATTTTAACTTCCAAGAACCTGCTTCTACTATGGGTAGGCAAGCTGATTTTAATTCTATTAGCTTCATTTGTGTAGTTCTTTATCAGCATGCAAAAAACAAGGCCCCATCACGTGGGAAAATTTATAAAAACCCTTAAAATAAAAAAAAAAAAAAAAAAAAAGCTTCTTTACTGTTTGTAACCCCTATTCTTAGGTTTCCTTTATTGTGCGCTATAGAAATTTTCCTCTCTTATTCCTATGCATCATTTATATGGTTCTTGTTTTGGTATAATTCCCCATAATATTCCAGAATGTACTGTTTTGTGAGTAGACAGAACAGTTTTTTTTTTTTTTTTGCTTCTTCACATCCAGTGCAGAGTTGTAATTGGAGACAGATTTCCACCCACAAAGGCTCCAGATGTTAAAACGTTTCCCAACATCGACTTAATACAGTGACGGCAACACCTCCCTCCCGCCCCTCCCAGTAGGGTTGGGATTGTAGTACTGTATTCCCTACTGGTTTACCCTTCCCCCCTGTAAAGGGTAACATTTTCCCTGGGTGCAGAGGCTCCCTCATAGTCTCCAAGACCGAAGGACCTGTAAGAAAAGAAAAAAAAAAAACAATTTTATACTTTTAACAACTGTTTCTCTTAAAGCTAGCGGAAGACAAAATTAATCAAGTAACAATGCTATCTCTACCTAAAGAAAATGAGAAATTGAATGAATTGCCTAAGATAATCATTGATAGTTGTTTCCTTTCCTTCTCCTATGGCTCTCAACTACCTCCTGTATTAGATATGAAAAGTGACACCAAGCCGGGGACATGAAGAGAGGTGTGTAGCACTTTATATAGATGAAATTGTAGGATGCTACCAGTCTCATTCTTCACCTCCTTTAGCACAATGGGCCCCAATGGGAACTGGTTATTTCTCACATTTAGTTGCCTTACTTCAAAATTTAATAGCACTTTCTTTAGTAAAAATTAAAACATTATACTTTTTCCAATTTCCCAATATAAAGCTATAAAAATTCAATCCATCAAAAAATAAAGGAGCATAATTTTTGGTTGTCTGATGTTTTTGCTTAGAGGCACCAAAGGTGTTCACACTGCACTAAGGTCACTATATTCAGCAAATATCAAAAAGGAAATTTTAACACTTGTCTTCCAAACCTACTTTACGTGGTCATTTCCTATAGTCTCAGGATTCTTGATTGTCTTGATACGAACTTTTTCAACACTAGCAGTTTTGATGATGAGAAAGACATTAAGAAATAAAGGTAGATTCCTAGGAGACTGTAACTAGTACCTGACAGTAGAACATTCACGACAAAACTCTACTAACCACTCATGCCAAACTTTGGACATTAATGAAGGTTCATGTGAATTCACAGAGGCAATTAAGCCCATCTGTGGAGAAGTACAAGCAACCGCTTTTTTCTGCCTCCGAAAAAAGAGGAGTACAAAAAAGGCAGGAATAAATGATACTGATCCACTTCTATCTCAA